ACCAATCGGAAAAATAAATCCGTAAAATGTCTTCGTTATGCTTGCGCGTTTTGGTGAATGATTACGATTTTGTATTCATAAAAAATATTAATAATTTTAAATTAGCGCAATCGTTTAAAGAAAAATATTATATTCATTTACGAAATATTTCGAATCTTTATAATCTAAAATTTGATTTGACACGAATTGATTCGGTGGAAAAAATTCAACTTTTGTTATTTTTTTCTACTTTATTATATCGAAAGCATATTTTACCAACAATCTACGAAATTCCTGATTATTAGTATATATTTTTCTAATCTGTCAAACGAATGACCGATTAGTTTATTATTTATTCAATAACGATGCCGTTCAATATTGCTATTGATGGTCTGACCGCCTCTGGAAAAACTTCTATTGGATATTCTTTGGCAAAACGATTAAATTTTAATTTTATCGATTCTGGTTTATTTTATCGCTATTTAGCTTACTATAATATTAATTCTACAAATTTTAATCAACATACTTATGATACTCTAATTGACTGTTCCAACTCAAGCGCATTTTCTTCCCTCGATATTTCTCAAAAGGCGTCTGAACTTTCAAAAGATGAAGAAATACGATCGTTAATTAATCAAGAAATCAAGAAATTAACGAAAAAAAAAGGATTTGTTGTAGTTGGACGAGACGTGTCAACTAATATTCTTCCTGATGCGGAATTTAAAATTTTGTTATCGGCTGATTTTGAGACGCGTCTTGGTAGACGCGTGAACCAATTAAATGAAGAAAATCCTCAAAATATTTTATATGATATTATTACACGTGATATCGTCTCTAAACCATTAATCAATTGTTCAAAAAAGGTTTCAAAAGAAATTAACACGTCGGATCTTGAAACTTTTGAAGTCATAGAGAAAATTTTACAAATAATCAAAAAGAAAAATTCTTTTAAAAGATGTTTAAAATTTTTTTTCGTTTTCATGTTATTTTTATTATCATTTTTATTAAACCAATATTCTGATTAGTGCTTTTGCACCAATCAGAAATTTAACTGTGTAACAAAATCTTTTAAATATGTCTATTTCTACTTCTCCTTCTACTTCTGTTCCAGTCAAACGAACTTTAGATCAAACTGAAAATCTCTCCACCACTGTAATAACGATTACAAAAGATTACAGTTATTATCTCGAATTGACAAACTGGCAACTCAATTCTGAGGTTGATGAAGATGCGTATGTTGAAGCGTTTCCTCTTCTTACGGATCGTATTAAATTTATAGAAGATTTGAAGAATTATTATGAAGCGAGAAAAAATGCTTTTTTTAAAATTGAAAGAATTCTTCCTAAAGATAAAGATCATGAATCGTTCGATGAAATCCAAGAATGGCGAACTACCGTATTGCAAGGTTCTAAAACTGGTGCAAAAATCGCTCTTGATAAGTTAGAGCGTTATGAGAGAAAAATAAATAACAAAAAAAGGAAAACGAAATAAATTAAATTATTTATCTTCTTTTAAATTTATTAATTATTATCTTCTTTTAAATTCATCAATTATTTTTTATATTTTTTTATATTATTAAATAAACATTCTGATCAGTATATTTGTACCGATCAGAAATTTAACTATATAAAAAAAACAAAAATGAAACAAATTCGAAATAATCTTCAACAAATAAAACATCCACGATATCAATATAATTTTTCTACAACACAAATTTCAATAAAAAATAAACTCATATTAATTCATAAAAGTTCACGTATTAAAAATCGGATAAATTATTCCGAAACACGTCCATATTTTAGATCATCTTCTGCCCCTGTTCTATACTACTGTTCGTATTGTAATCATTTTCGAAAGATAAAGTTTTGCAAACGTTGTAAAAAATCTATAAATGATGATTTTGAGTCCGAATCTAACGAATCTGTAACATTATCTTCGATAACTGAAGAATCTCAAAAATCTCATAAAAACAAAGGAATTTTTGACGATGTGATTGAAAAATATTCTTCAAAATACATCTCATCCCAATTTGGAAAAGTAGAAAATAAATATATCTTTTGGTCTGACAACGAATTACGAATGGACGATAGTAGTAATAATGAATATATTATTTAATATTTTAATTATTTTAATTTTTTGTATCATTATTTTTTATTCTGTTCAGTATAAATATACCGAACAGAAAATTTTCTGTTCATTTTTTTTTGTAAAATGGAATCAGAATATAGATTACTTCTTAGCAATTATTCGATTGCTCGTGAGCTTGAAGAAAAATATCTTGTAACTTTATCTCATCTTACCTTGGTGGAAAAATATGGTATTCCTGTTAAAGAAACGAAAAATGCGATTGAAACTCAACTTGTTATTCAATCAAATTTGAAAAAAAAATATAAAGAAATGATTACAACTTACGAGATCGATAGTCGAGAATTTTCTTTGATCGTTCCGATAACTTCAAAAAAGCAAATTCCTATCAGTAAAAGAATTAATCCTAATAAAGATTATTTTGAATACTATTATGTGCCAACAGGTGGGAAAAAAAGAGATGAAACGTATAATGAATGTGTGAGACGTGAAATGGAGGAAGAAACTGGAATAACAATAGGAGAATTATTTTATGTTGGAATAAATGAAAGGTTTAGAGTTTTTCCGGATGGAAAAGAATGTCTATGTCAATGCGCAGTATACTATACCTTTATTGATGATCAGATTCCAATTCGAACTGAACCCGATAAACATGACAAATGGATTTTTGTAGACCCAAAGGATCTTTCTAAATATAAATTAACCGATACCCTTTCTCTCTTTCTTCAACCTATAATCGAAATCGTAAACAAAAAATTTAGAAACATCAATCGGAAAAAACGAAAAATTTCTCCTTCTGAAGAAATTTCCGAAAAAATTGTAAAATCTCCTGTTCTAAATGGAATTGATAACACATCTCCAAATGACACTTCTAGCTCTGAAGCATAATTTTAATTCAATTATTTATCAATATATATTTTATTTTTTTTTTATTTTAATAATAAATTTATTAAATTTTCTGTTCTGTATGTCAAACATACCGAATAGACTTTTATTTGTGTAAATGTCTTCCGATTGGCAAGAAAAATTTAAAAATTTCGAAATCATTACTGATTGGGAAAAATATAAAAATCTTGATAACTCAAGACGAAAATTGAATGAATATCGTCTTATCAAGATTGATTTTAAACTCTATCTAGAGGTTAAAGCAACAAATTTAAATTTGACATTTTTAACTGATCTTGACAATTTTAAACTAATTCAAAATCATACGTGGTATTCTTGAAAGTATGGATACACGTATTATATTTTTACAAACACACAAAACACAACAAAAAAATTTCATCGAATGGTTCATTCAGAATGAAAAATGGTAGATCATATCAACCGTAATGGTCTTGATAATCGCAAATATAATTTGCGAGAAACAACACCAAGAGAAAATCAATTAAATCGCAAGTTACAAAAAAATAATTCTTCTGATTATAATGGGATTTGTTATCATAAAACATTAAAAAGTTGGAGATTTAACTATAATGAGAATAATAAACAAAAAACAAAATGGTTTCGTGTTACTAAAAAACGAACATATGAACAAGCAAAAAATCAATGTATAGAATTTAAATTAGCTCACGATAAGAAAACTGGAAATCTTAATGGTTATGTTGTTCAATAAATCTAATTTATTCTATTCTGTACAAATGTACAGAATAGATTTTTAATTACGTAATCATGACAACTATTAACGAAACCTCTGAAAAAAAGGTAAGATGCTCGTCATTTTATTTAGCATATATGAGATTCTGAAGTTACGCTGCCATACCAAATTAGGAGATATTTATGAATTCATCTTTTTGATGATGAATATTTCTATTAATTTGGGAGAAACTGAAAGAACTCGGGTCTTCTGCAAACATTGGTGAATAAGAATCTTTTGCTAATATGATTTTACATATTTCAGATCTCTAATTACAGATCTGGACATGAATTTGAAGATGCTGTTCGAAAATTACTCGAAGCGAATATGATTTTGGCCAATGAAATAAAAGTGAACCAGGGTGATGGTGGTATTGATATTATCGCCACTTACAAGAAACATACTATTTTGATTCAATGCAAAAATGTTGAATCTCCCATCACGATTAATATTGTGAAAGATTTTGAATCGTCAATTTCTCGCTATTCTAATCCAATTGGATTCATCGTGTATAATGAGAAAAAGATGAAAACTAAAAATTTTGTTACGCATAAGGCGAACAAATGGATTTCATTGTCTGAACAATTTATTAAAATTTGTAATGAAACCAAGATTTGCAACATTATTAAAGAAGAATGTTGTAAAGAAGATTTTTATCAACCTCAGTTAGAATTATTTGATTTTTCGGCCGATAATTTTGTTTACAATGAAGTTAGAAGTCAGAATGTTTACATTAAAAAAATTGTAATCAGAAGACGTTATAGTCCTTATTAACTATTCAGTCAATTTTGACCGAATAGTTTTCTAATTATGTGTCTCTTTTTTTTAATTACCATGAACAAGAAAATTGTAACTTATTTTGCAAATTTTGAATCTGATATTAAAAAATTAAAAAATATTTTACATGATAATAAATATAAAAAAACTAACTCTTTCTCATCGCAAGAAGAACGTTCTCGTTTTCAAAATGATTATGACACGACAAATCTTCAAGTTGAAAAAGAGTTTGAACCTGAATACGGTAGAAAAATTGAACAAGAAACCTTGAGACGGTTAAAACGTAAATATCCGGAACAAATCAAAATTGTCAACAAGAAATCTAAAACAGAACATCCAAAGGTCATTATTTTTACTGGACCAATAGCCGTCGGTAAAACCACGTGTTCGGATAAATTAGCTGAATATCTTCGATCACAAAAATATATGGTTCTTCAATATGTCGAAGCATCTCTTGATATCGA